AGGATCAACACAATAGACTTGGGTAGATGGCTGAAGATAAGTAAGAATTTTCATCTATAATTTGCTTGGGCTAGATTCCAGAAGATAATTTGAAACTGGCAAACTCATTGCCAGATCCCAGAGCCAAATGTGTGTTTTATGTCTCTCCCTCAATTCTGACCCTTACTGTACTATCTATGAATGACATTTCCGATTTCTGGGAAAAGTCGGAACACTGGAATCAGCAATTTTCCTTCTTAGTTTTAGAAGTTCTCTAGAACATTGGGCTGCTTTAGTATCTGTTGGGAGCATAGAATATTCATCTTTCCTTACTTAAAAATAATTGGGGTTAAAACTGTTTGTAATGCACAATGATATTTTTTTGTAGTGCCTTTTATGTATGAATCACAAAGCATTTTGAAAACCATAACTCAGTTCTTTCAGCTCTCTGGTGGGTGAGACAGGTGCCATTAACCCTGTTTTACAGATGAACATGAAACAGACCCAGGGAGTTTCAATGAGCAGCCCACGTTCAGGCAATGAGTCAGTGGGAAAGCTGGGGGAAAGAACTTGTGGAACTCTAGACATACCCCTTGAATTTGATACCTTAAGAAGTGAGAGGAATTAATAAATCAGGAAGATAAATGGAGAACCATTTGAAGGGCTGTTTTGTGATGAGCAATAATTTTTCTGATGAAATATTTCAATTGTGCTATAGCTTCAATGATTTGAAATTCCAATATGGATTTCTTTTTCCTAGCCAATCACCATGTCATACAATTTAGTAACTGATCTTTGAAATTAGCATTTATGTTTGTATATAGATGGGAGCTTGCTAGATTACTCTTAGGGTAATTTTTGATGGCTTCTGATATGTGACATCAATAAATAAAGAGGAAGACATTTAAAATATGCCACAGTGGGATATGTAAAGAATTTGCAATGATGTAGTATAATATTTAGAAATGTAACAACATAGAGTATCTATTAGTTTATTGTACTTTAGTGGCTTTTGTGTTGTTGTGATACTGGAAGCAATGCCACCAGCATTTCGTATTTTCCCTTAAGTTCACTGTTCTCCATTTGATGAGACTAAGTGATTTTCTTTGAACTGGTATTAGTCAACATTATTACCAACTTTACCATGAAAAATATTCTTTCTGCATATCAAAACTTCACCCTCCCATTCATGCTTAACTCATTCTCCTCTCAAATGCTTGGTCTTCTAAGTGATTGCTGTGATTCAGTTTTGAGTTTCCAGTCTGTGATAATTATTGTATAAGGGTTATATTGTTCTATGCAAGTGATAGAAAATTGTGCATCAGTGATGAAGATAATGGGTAGTTATTCTTTAATCTCCCATTGTCTCTCATCACATCCTCCCTTCACTTCATATTTTGCAGACACAAGAATCTTTATAAGCCTTTGCTGCTGAGTTGAATTTCACATTACACATAACTATGTAGTGGTAGCTGCTGCCTATATAATTTTTTTTTCTTATATTCCAATGAAAGGGTGCTTTATTGGTTTCATTCAACAATACTGTAGAATTAGGATTGGGTAAAGCTTTTCAAACTTCACGTGGTTGACAGGTTCTGTTTTTTTCACTTTGGTCCATTTATCATGAATTCAAATAAATAGAGTCTAAATGCTTGTATTTAAGAATAGAATTATGAAAGTATTAAATAGCCTTCCTCACTTTACTCTGGATCTTGTAAGATACCATATGATATCCATTTTCCAGAGAGTTTTCCATTTTGCATGTAGTATACATAAGAAATCTATTGAATAGATCCTTTTGGTTTAATTATGAGAAGATGGTGTTACTGTCTTGTGACTGGAAGCTAGCTATTTATGAAATCTCAAAATAAAGTGATTTCAGAGTTTGTGGGTCATGATTTTCAGGCTTCCACCTAGACCTGAAAAAGCAATTCACTCCTCTGTTGTTCTCTACCAATTAGTGCTATACTTCACCATTATAAATAATTGCAATTTCAAATGATAGCTTCAAGCTATTATAGTTCTGTTCTTCTTGCTTTGCTTGTACTGACCTTGAATTTTATTTGAAAGAAGTAAAAATTGTAAAATGTATGTAGAATTTTTAAAATATGAAGTTCTTGAAACTTACTGCCTATTTATTTATGTTATCAGTCAATTGATGAACCTGGAGAAGAAATGAAGATTGTTTCTTTTGTAGAACCACCTATGAGGAAGCTGGACAATGAACAGGGAAGACTGAAGAAGAGTTGATGTTTTTGAATTGTGGGGTGGGTGAAGAATACTGAAAATACCATGGACTGTCAGAGAATTAATAAATCTGTCCTAGAGGAAGTGCAGCTGGAATACTCCTCAGAAGCAAGAATGCCCAGAATTCATCTCGCCTACTTTAGTCATGTTATCAGAAAGGTTCATTCCCTGGAGAAGGATATTATGCTTGGTAAAGTGGAGGGTTAACAAAAAAGGGGAATACCCTCAACAAGATGGATTGACACAGTGGCTGCAATGACAGGCTCAAATATAGCAGGGATTGTGAGGCTAGTGTAGGACCAGGCAGTGTTTCGTTCTGTTGTACATAGGGTTGCTATGAGTTGGAGCCAACTCAATGGCACCTAACAGCAACAACACCTAAGAGGAATTGATTGATTCTCTTTTAAAATTATTTTTATCATTTTTGTTTCTACTTTAATCAAGGCATCTTCACTAACTGCTGTTGAGTAGAGTCTGACTCATGGTGACTCAAGTGTGTCAGAATAGAACTGTGTTCCTTAGGTTTTCCAATGGCTGATTTTCCAGAAAGTCTCTAGGTCTTTCTTGTAAAATGCCTCTGGGTGGACTTGAACTTCTAACCTTTTGTTAGAAGTTTTGTTAATATATGTTTTACATATACTACGTGCAAAATGTGAACACATTAATTGTTTGCAACATCTATGGACTTCCATGTCATCTTACATGTTTAAATATTTCCAAAGTGGGGTTGATAGCTCATGGAGTTTGTTTTATTTGAATCTCAATTTGGCCAAATATAAACTGTGTGACCTTCATGAGCTATTCAGTCTCTCGAACTTCAATTCCTTCAAGCTCCTTAATATGTACCCAATAAGGTTGTTGGAAGGAGTCAATGAGATGGTGTATGTCAAGTCTCTAATTCAATATTGTGTACCAAAATTTTTTTCTGTGTACATTTACTAGTGACTTCACTATTTTTGCATTTACACAATTAAACACTTTTCCACAGAAGCCTAATAATCCTCAGCTAGTAGAAGCCTTTAAACTGCTCATCACTTTAAAGCGAGCAGCCAGCCTATGTGATGGGGACTTTGACCTTGTAGCACTAACTGGAACATTCCTCCGGTGGGAAAAGCACAGTCACACCATTGTGGAAAGTAGCCATCTCATTTATTTCACCCTGTACCTGAGAACATGGTGTGAGTCATGGAGGGAGACACAGATATTGAAGTGTAGTCCCTTGGATTTATAATGTAGCTCAGAGCCTAGCATCTTCTTTTTGGGTGTATTATTAGCCTCCAATTAGAGACCTGGGGTGTCCCCAGTATGGCTTCACTGAAATGATTAGAGATGAATGAAGCATTTTGCAAGGGGACTTTTGATGAGTGCTAACATCAAACTGTTTTCTTTATGGGTGTTTAAAATGTAGTCTACCTGTAGCCTTCAAATATATATAAATGCATTATTGTCCCTTATGCCTTTTCCATGTAGACCAGTTTGTGAAATGAGTCAGGTGTTACAGATGTTTTGAAGTAAAAATACCACTGACTACTTACATTGAAGTGAATTATTTTGCCCAAGTTGAAACAGTTGATTCACCTGTGTACAACTGGACCTAAAGAGGCAGATATTTTATTGTTTGGACTTGATTATACCATTGTGAGATGAACTAATGGAGAATGATATTCTTACAGTTTGTCAAAAATAAAAATAATAAATATTATAGCACATTTTCTACCTAACCATTCATTATCAAATATTCATTAAGTGTCTGTTTCTCACACCCTTCCTACATTTATCCCTGATGGGGACAATGACCTTGAAGGTCTTTAGTTTTTTGGCACATGATTAAAATGCATATGATCTGTAAGTATTTGTGTGGAAATAAATATCTTTTGAATATATTGGGCTTCTTGGGAGAAAGATACTGCACTCATTCAAATTAACACAATAATAATTTAAGAAATTAAGGTTGTTCCACTAGCATATTAATGAGACTCATGAGTTACTCTTATCCATTGTTACTAGATTAAAAATTTTAGGAATAAAGCTCATCCGATGTACTTGTTTACAAATGCAGTTGTACTTAATTAGCTTGTAATTCACTTTGTTGCTTCAATATAAACAGAGACTCCCAATGCCCTCTCTACCTTTCTGTGGGTATCTTGCTTCGATCAGTTAATTAATTTTCAGAGCCAGTTCACACCCAGGATACAAGTCTTTGTGTCCTTTTTCCCGACAGATTTTGTCAGTGGCATCTTAGAGCATATTCAGAGAGGTACCCTCCCTTTTAGAAGCCCCGTTAACTATGAAAGGGTGACTGAGTAAATTATGTGTAAAATTTATTAAGTGCCTTCACAAACCCAACAGGGTGTGGGCTTGTAAATTGTCCCAGTCAGAAGGGAAAAAGTGTGTGATGGTAGGATGGTGGCATGTTTGGTATTGCAGTCAGATGGATACTCATTGTATGCAAGCAAGATGAAGGAGGAGTGAAGTTTGGGCTAGGATGACCAATAGCTTTGAAGCTGCAAATCAGTCTTCTTAATGCTACAAATAAGTTCAGTACAGACAACTTATAGCTTAGTTACCAAACTACTAAACTTTCTTTATGAGGGTAACCGCTTCTCAATAGACAATTAAACTGTAGATTCACAAGATGTTCTAAGGCAAGCTGGTGTGAGCCACAGAAGCCAGGTGACCAGAGAGGGAGCCTCACCCACCAGCAAGAATATATAAAAGCTGTGAAACCTCCAGTGACATTCACAACTCAGAGCATATTTCACCTAGATACCCACAGACCTTTGTCTGGCACCATGTCCTACAACTGCTACACAAGCAACTGTTCTTCCAGGCCAACTGGAGGACGCTGCACGGTCCCAATTGCCCAAGTTACTGTTCCTACGACCAGAGATGCTGACTGCCTGAGTGGTGTCTATTTGCCCAGTTCCTTCCAAACTGGGTCTTGGCTCCTGGACCACTGTCAAGAGACCTGCTGTGAGCCCACTGTTTGCCAACCAACTTGTTACCAGCGAACTTCTTGTGTCTCCAGCCCTAGCCAGGTGACTTGCTCTCGTCAAACGACCTGTGTCTCTAATCCCTGCTCGACTCCCTGCAGCCGGCCACTCACTTTTGTCTCCAGTGGTTGTAAGCCCCTGGGAGGCATCTCTGGTGTCTGCCAACCTGTGGGTGGCATCTCTACTATGTGCCAACCAGTGGGAGGAGTCTCTACTGTGTGCCAACCAGCCTGCGGGGCATCCAGGGTGTACCAGAGCTCCTGCGTGTCCACCTGCCGAAGAACTTGCTAAATGTGTAGGAGCCATGAGGGAATCAAGACTCCATGACCTGTCGGATGTGTTTCCAGGATCTTCCAGCATGCTGCCTGCTGACCCTTCTTCCAACTCCTGATTGCTGGCTGCTAACCACCTTCATGCTGCCTTTGGCAATCTAAGACTTTTCTAGCGAGTGCCAAGCCCATTTTAAACATTGCTTGCTAGTTCTATGTATGCCTCTGGATATTTCCAGAACCTCAAACCAAGTCCATGCTCAAGTATCTGATGGTTTTGACATGTTTTCATCTTGCTGCTGTGTCTCTTGCCTTCTGCTTTTGTGTCTCTGGAAAAGGGGGCTTGTTTTGCAATGTATTTCTCAATAAATCTGCATTCCTTGGCATTGCAAATGTATGTCTCAAGAGAGTTCTTTACGTGCAAGAGTTTTTGCTGTCTATAAATTTTCCTTTGTTGGTCAGGGTCTGACTTTCTTTTCCAAGCACTGAGGATGGATTCAGTCATTGTGTTCCTTGACTGAGCAAGGGATTATCTTATATTTTACTTGTTCAGAGCTAGTTTATGGGTATATGGTGAAGTAAGGGCTTTGGGATATTTTGGAATGGCTTGTCCTCCATATATTCCAATTATTTTGGGCTCACAAAAAATTTCTGTGAAAAGGAAAAAGTTATTTGGGGAATCAAGAAGTTTGGGGAGTTGTACACTGATGGGGTGAGGGGGATCAGTTAGGGGTTCAGGGTCTTAATTATAGGACCACAATGGAAAACTTTACAGAACATTCCTCCACAATCAGACTGGATGGAGGGAGAAGAAAGGAAGGAAAAATTGGTGTCCAGGCTTTGAAATCATTTTGTACTCCCCTCATTTGCTGTAGTAGATCAGTAGACCCCCAAACATCCTCTAAATAAGTAATCACCAATAACCAGTTGTTGTCAAGTAGATCATGACTCATGGCACCCCCATATGTGTGAGAGTAGAAGTGTGCTCCATAACGTTTTCAGTGGCAGATTTTTCAAAAACATCACCAGGCCTTCCTTCCAAGTTGCCTCTGTGTGTACTCAAACCTCCATCTAGCCTTTTGATTGGCAGCTGAGCATGTTAACCATTTGCACAACTCAGGGATTCTGTGAATACATAAAACCTCCATGTCTTAGTAAATCCATGCAGAAGGGACTTGAAAATAAGTTTAAACACATGTTAGTTCATTTTATACCCAAAAACCTTATTTTGTGCTTGCTCCTCACTGGAACCTTTCTGGCTGATAAAGAGAACTATTTGGGCCTTTGAGGAAATACTCATTTTTCCTTTCTTATAAAGTGAGAACTGGATAAAAATTGGTTTCGCTTTGCCCTTTTCCTCTGTTATGTCCAAGAATAGAATACATCTCTGTATTTCCTTTTCAGAGTTGCTCAAGGAGAAACCGAAGTGGGAGATTTTTATAGAAAATGAAAACTTTTGAGGTGCAATGACATGAGCAATGGGTGGCTTTTCTCCTAGCAGGAGGTGCTTAGGGCCTTGTTGGGAATCTGATCATCAGTCTCTGTCTCCATCACAAAGTGGTTTTCTTATTTCACTGGTGGTATTTTAGAGAGATAAAATGTATAGATGATTTCTGTATGATTGGAATATTTTCCACTTTTCCTTTTGCCGACTCTTCTCTGGGAAAAGTGGATCCCCCAGTCAAAGAAATATTAGTGTATGTAGCTCACAGTAATATCTTACTAAGGCAAGACATAGTTTTCATTATACATTAATTCCATCCCCTTTCTTTTAAAAGTAATAATGTGGTTTTCAGAAAAGCTCTGAATTATTATAAAATAAAACATCACTCAAACCCCAAACCAAACTCACTGCTGTCAAGTTGTTTCCGACTCATAGCGACCCCTGCTTGGGTTTCTGAGGTGGTATAACTACGGAAGATTGCTCAATCTTCCTTCTGAGGAGTGGCTGGTGGGTTTGAACTGTCAGCCTTCTGGTTAGCAGTCAAGTGCCTTAGGCACTATGTTACTAAATGGCCTCTTCAAAGCTGTGGTTTCCATGACTTTTATTTATTTTTGGTTCAGATGCTTCATATATGACTTGAAAAATCAGTGGTATTTCAGAGGTTGACAAACAGTTTTAAAAAAACTGTTTTTGTTTTTTACTCTTCAGTTATCTATGTCCTATTAAAAATTGACAAGGGCAGAGATGTTTTTCCTTTTTATTTAGATGCTAAGATGTTAATCTGCTCTAATATAAAAGATTCATGTAAGGTTACCTTAGTAATGTAGGTTTTCAACTCCTTTCTAAACTGAGCTAACATAAATAAACTTTTGCTTGGGCTATTTATTGTAACGGTTTGAATATTCAAGGGTATTGTAGCTATCCTGCCAAGCTGTTTCCCTGCCTGAATATCTATTTGGGAAATTTTGTTCTTTTCTCATTATAAGAGTTATTCTATTTGTATGAGAAAGACAGAGAGAGTTACATGGGCAGTACAAACAACAAATATGAACCCCTTTGCAAATACAATACTGAGTTGTCAATGAAAGCAAACATGGGTATAGGGACGGATAGATGGGTGAACAAGCTAAACAATTATGTATGTCTAAATGGAGAGTGTATCCAAGATCATATACAGGGTTGGCAGACAATGGGCCTCTCGAAGAGTATGAAGGGATGGACACTGGGAGGAGGTAACTATGGGGAGGAAGTGGGAGGGGAGCTGCTGCATTGTAAATTTTGGTCAATGACATGAGACAAAATATATGTGAACTGCTGTATGAAAAGTGAATTTACTCTGTAAATCTTCACCCAAATCCTAATTAAAAAAAAAAAAAAAAAAAGAGTTATTCTCTTTGTGCTTGAACATTGGAAGTTTTCTTCATTCTTTTTCTTATTACTAAATAAATTATAAAGTTTCAAAGTTTGTATTTATGCATTTGTTGTTTGTTTTCACTGCTGTCAGTCGGCTCTGACTCATACCGACCCCTCCTTGGGTTTTTGAGGCAGTATCTCTACCAAAGTAGATTTCCCAGTCTTCCTTTTGAGAAGTGGCTGGTGGGTTTGAACCATAGCCTTCTGTTTAGCAGTCAAGTGCCTTAGGCACTATGCTACCAGAGCTCCTAGGCTTTTAAAATTTAGGGCTGATAATTTCTCTCTTTTCTTGGTCCAGGCTGTAGAAATGTAACTTGTTTACAATATCTTAATGTTGTGGGAAACAGTGTAACTTCTCCTTTTGTAGGCTTTTTGTTCAAATCCTGGCTCTGCCACTTAGCTAGAGATTTGTTAGGCTCCTTAAGCTTTGGTCAGTTCCATCTGTGAACTGGAAACATCTCATGGCTCTCTTTTCCAGAAATAAACTGAGAAAATATGTGTGTAACCCATGTATCAGCTGAGGCATGCTGCTATTTTTATATTGAAATGAAATTAGCTCACTCTGGTGGCATAATGGTTAAAGCATTCATCTGTTAACCAGAAGGTCAGCAGTTTGAACCCTCCAGCAGCTCCATTGGAGAAAGATGAGGCAGTCTGCTTCCATAAAGATTTACAGCCTTAGAAAACCTTTGGAGCAGTTCTCCTTTGTCTGCTTTTGGAAATCTTATAACCAAAAAACCAAACACACAGCCATCGAGTCGGATCTGACTCCTAGTGACTCCACCTTTTGTTTCTGATGTGGTATCACTACAGAAGTAGATTGCCCAACTTTCTTTCTGAGGAGTGGCTGGTGGGTTTGAACCACCAGCCTTCTGGTAAGCAGTCAATGCCTTAGGCATAGTGAAGTTCTATTCTGCCCTGTGAGTCAGAATTGACTCAATGGCAGTGGGTTTTATTATTTATATATTTATTTTATATCTTTTCTCAGTGTCCCTGGGTGATTCAAATGGTTAATATCCTCAGCTGCTAGCCTAAAGGTTGGAGGTTCAAGTCCAGCCAGAGGTGTCTCAGAAGAAAGGCCTGATGATCTACTTCCAAAATCAGCTATTGAAAACCCTGTGAAGCGGTCATTCTCTAGCACACATGGGGTTGCTATGAATTGGAGTCAATCTGAAGGCAACTAAGGAGCTCTAGTGGTGAAGTGCCTTAAGCATTTGAAATGCTAAAAACAAGGTTGATGGTTCACACCCACCAGCCAGTCTATTGAAGGAAGATAGGGCATTCTATCTTCATAAGATTTACTGCCTTGAAAACTCAATGGGGGTCATTATGAGTAGGAATGAAATCGATGGCAGTGAGTCTGAAGGCAACTGGTACCGGTTATATATTTTGCCTCTTATATGGACATCCTGGTTGTGCCCCATATCTCTGAGAAATCTGAAAGTGGAAAGGTTGGAGGAAGGTGCCTTATTATTTTTTTTTTTTTTTTCTTTCCTAATCTTTTACACTGAGCTTCTACTTTAGAAGAATTGGTTTATTTTATGGATCTTCTTGCTAGTCCCTAGTCTGATTCTGTTCAGATTGGAATGATTCAGACATTTAGTTCTTCTTTTCCTTGATTTCCACAAAAATTTATCCATGTACACAGAATATGTGTGTGTATAACAGGTTTTATTGAAAGTTAGGGGACACAGAGGACATTCATACCCCAGTGATGAAAGGAAGGTAAAGCTGAATTTTTAACATTAAGAAGTCCTTTGGCCATTGTCCCTGAGACATTACCCTTCTCAGCTCAAAACTAGATTCATCACTTCCTTTCTTCCTTCCTCTCTTTCTTACTTCCTTTTTCCTTTCCATCTTTCTTTCAACAAACATTTGAGTGACTATAGCGTTCTAGCTTCTATGTGAATTGCTAATTATATGGTATTATGATTTCTGCTCTCATGAAGCTCAGTTTACTTATGTAAAGAAATTTCATTAGGCCTTGCTATTTTTTTTCTCTATCTTCCTTTTAAATCTTCACCTTTTACTTTCAAGTGCTTTATTTTTTATATCCAAATGCTTGCCAAAGTACTGTACCACGTAAATTCTCAGTCACTAGTAGATATTCCAGGAGCTGTAGAAGCACAGTGGTTAAGGAATTTTGCTACTAATAAAAAGGTTGGTGGTTTGAACTCACCAGCCACTCTGTGGGATCAAGATGAGGCACTTTGCTTCCATAAAGATTTACAGCCTT